CCCCTGTTTGGATGCCTGTATCCCCGGTATACTTTATTCGACAATACACCACATCCACATCCACCTAAATCCACACCAACAGCAAGCCGCCATTTTGCAAAAACAAGTATTCGTATATCTCAAAACTTTGGCAATAGTACTTGGCTCGTGTACCGCTCTGTTCGCGATTCAACTCCTCCACGAGTACTCCCTATAGTCACAACCCCTTCGCATGTGCATTTATACTTTCACCCCCCATAGTACCCACAGTACCCATAGTACCCATAGTGTCTAGACTCTGACCAAAACTGTCGTTATTCAAAGTCCTTAATACTTCTGAACAATGGGAAGGCGTTTTAATTCACAGCGAATAATATATTCCCGAATGAATTGTCGAGTAGCGGAAAAAAGGTTGAAAAATATAAAAATGGCAATCTCAATCACGGTTGACTGAATGTGGAAAATTTTTCCAAAATCCCGAGGGAGCTGAGGTTTTGTCCAAGCGTGACGATAAACCCCTTGCATTGTTACCCACCCCATATATAATATTTACACTACACTGTACCACCCGTACCACTCGCTAAAACATTAGGTATTCCACATTGCAAGTTTTTCTAGCTTTAAAAATTCATGAGGATGGCACACCGGAAATCTCAACTATTGCAACCCGAGGTGTATCAGAGATTTGGACTAAGAGGTGCAGTAAAAATGGCATGATTGAAATGACGAGTGAGCATTCCCCATCAGTCTTAAATCTTTACATTTAATTGGGTAATTAGATGGACACGATTCGGTTGATCGCGATGTACCTAAAAATAGATACATTCAAGTGGTATTCATCCATTTAGCCGCGGCTCATTCCCGATGAATTAACGAGCGCTGAACTAATCCCCCTCGTCACCTATTCTTAATTCCAATTTTCACGAGTATCCGTTACATCTTTATAACCGTCCAACTGTACATGCAAGTACGAAATGGTCGCCTACCAAGTCAGTCTGTCTCCATTCATTGGTCCTAAATAAATCAGTATGACGAACGAGGCCAGTCTACCCATTCGCCGTTTAATTTGACAGTAGACCATCTTCCCTTGGCTGTTGGTGCGCCATGTAGACGTTAGCTTAATTACATTCCACCGATCTACCGCGTCTACATCTTCTCTACAGTGATAGTACTCCTCATTGTATCTTCGACAGAGTTATGCCCTCTACCCATACCCCAAAGAATTCCATCTCCCGTTCATCACAAATTACCCCAGAATCTATCACTCAAAGAGTATTTGTTTCTTCCACTCAGTGGATAAAACTTTCTAGGTCAGTGACTCCACAAAGGATTCACAGAGGGTTAAAAAAAAAGAATAAAAAAATCAAGCCAGATAGATTGTGAAGTATAAAGTGTAAAGCCCACGGGATAGATTACCACATGTCAAACGCCTATTTTTATCCTAGCTCGGAGGATGAGGATGGACAGAGTTGCTGTAGCTTTGGCAGAGGAAAAACTCGTTCATTACACTTACCCCGTGCTCAAGGGTTTTGCTATGATACCCAATAGAGGTATCCCAAGTAGTCTATGTATACCTGTTCATCGGAGCTTGCGACACGAGGTTGGACCTAGCGGAGCGTCGGGTACGATCTAACGCGTCGCAGGGTGTTCAAGCTCTTTGTTCAATAGCTTTGACCATTCGAGCGCTTGCATTTCTCATTCCACTGTATTCCACTGTATTCCACTCTTGCATCGACTTTATACCTAACTCTCTCTCCTTATCTCACTCTCTCTCTCTCTCTCTCTCTCTCTCTATTGTTTAATTAATGCTCTACCAGCAGTTTACCCCTATCAATCCCCATCTCAAAATTTTACACAATCCACAGATTATTGGAACGATCATCTTGGAGATTAATTATTCAATATCCAATTATCTAACATATACCCAATAATTAATGTGGGGATTTAAAAATTTATCTACATGGGATGTCAGTAAGAAGAAAAAAATTAAACTCTCTTGAGGAAATATCGAGCTGCGGGTCTCCACATTAAGGGATGATGCTAGGGGGATACGAACGGGGGGCGAAGGGGGTGAGGGGGATATGAGGTGATTTGGCAGCCGCAAAATGATCAAATTGAATCAGAGGAGGAACGAGAGTGAGTCGACGGATTTGATGTCAATCGCGCGGAACTTGGAGGCAAATGATTAGGGTGTCGACCCCCCGTAGCTCCGTTAATCTACTCACCCCCTTGAGCGTCTTGTGACAAACTCAATTTTCTACGATAGTAGAAGAGGTCTGTGATAGTTTCACGTTCGTGTTTTCTTGTATCAAGAAAAATGACTGTGCAATCCCCTTGGCAAGAAAAAAATATTGAAGACACGGTGAATGGAACGACAAAAAGGTGGATCGAGTGGACAGCAAAAAAATTTAATGAGACGTCACGAAATGCGAATGGAGAATCTCATGGAGAGATGAGCGACAATATTAATTAGCGTGAATAAAATTCTGGTCCTCGAACCGCTAATGTTTATTCAAACCCGGGGTGAAAAGATAACTCACATAAACCTGTGCCATGAATACCCAAAATGCGCAATTAAAAACACCCGTGCAATTACACGTGCTGAGAAAATTTAGTCGTCTCTACTATGAAAATCCGGTGTCTAGTTAGCGAGATAAATTCCACGTCTTGATTATAAATTTTTTTTTTCGTTAAAAATCAATATCACCCAATCAGACGATAACGCCTGCATACAAATCCCGGGCACGTCTCGGCGAGACCTTTTCCATGCCGAAGAGAATAAAAACACCTCTTGAGATACTTCTCTCGAAGATTTTCTAGAATCACCTCAGACACTCGCCCCTCTACACCTAACGTTTCTCATCGCGGACTTGCTCTTTCAAGCAGAAAATAGATTGTCATTATAGCATAAATACGGGGTTCCCAGGTATTGAAATTAATAACGAAGAAACCAAGTAGAAACGGAAATCCACGGATTAATAACTCGTCCCGTTATCCTCAGATCATGCCGCCTAGACTAAATGTAATAATTTTCCTTGAAAAGTTGAAAGAAAAAACCTTTTGAAAATAAAATGGCAGATGTATCATGAACCACCACTGATAAGTGTTTTCAGTAGAAGAAATCTTCTTGCAGACACATCTAATAATTTTTCCAATTATATTTTCATTCCGCAAACATTGGACTGAGATCCACAACTTTATATTGTTTTAATAAACAGCATCCAGACAATCTCCTCAAATGCAAATTCCGTACTTTTTCGTGGTGACGAGACAAGCGCGAAGAGTAGAAAAGAGAATGAAATAACAGGGAGAAACGTAGAAGACTTCGGTAATTCCGGTATTAAAATTGCAAAATGCACAACGGGGTACCTCCGTCTGGTATGCTATATCCGATTTCTCTTCTGTACAATATATAATACAACCCATCCCGCTTATATTTCCCTTTTGTAGAAATGTATACACTTCATCTTTTCTCGTTTCGCTCTCTCTGCCAATGCAGTAGAAAATCACTGAATGAAAACTGCTGTTTTTAGCCTCTTCACTCAACGCCATATTAAAACTTCTCCATTGTTCGGTACAAATGCCCGGATAATGAAAGATTTCAAATTGTTGGAGATATGACTCTCTATTGTTCACCCCAGATGATGGTCATGGTGGAGGATAAATAGACCACATGAGGAACAGCTCAAGTCTCAGAGATAATTGATGCATTAGCACTAGGAGGTAAGTTGCTGTTCCAACAGGAAGTCAGCAGATTTTCGACATGAGATTTTTTGTCATAAATGACACAAAAGCAAGAAGATGCTTTTTTTGAAGAAACAAAGGAGTAATCAGTTGGAATGGAATAAGTTTGGAGGGTCATAACACGTATCTTGGCTTTAATTTTCACGTTATGTTTGCGCATTCCCCTAATGTACCAGTCATCTTCATTACGCGCATGCCTTTCGACTAATTAAATCTTTAACATCCGAGTTCTCGCACATTAGTTGTACCGTAAACACTAAATACACCGGCGTCACGATAACCCTGAGATAATCCCCATTCCCATTGGAGAATTCGTCAAATTGTGGCTTCCATCCACCTCTCAGTAGACAATATTAAATTTAATCCAATTTTATGTAATAACTCACCGTTGTTGACTTCGTCGACACCCCTGCAGCTGTGGTATACCCTTTGTCCTGCAATCTCCAACAATCCTGTTCCACATGGCTTGAAATCCCACAAAACAAGTCTCACGTTACGAAAAAACACAAACACAACACAACACTCCCGCACGACCTTGTAGTATCGAATGATTTTGATGAAATACTAGTCAATCACACTAACTTCGCGATAAAATTGTCACAATGCCACTGACGAATGTTTTCGTGATACCTCCGACTGTACAACACAACAACAAAGTAAATAGAGTATCATGTCGGCTTCTAAATTGTAAATAATCTCCCGGGAGACGTTAAAAATCGAAAACTCAGGATCCCGCGTTTATTTTCACTGCCATCTAACAAGACAATGGACGATCGCCCCCTCGCTTTACGGTGCGACGCGTAGACGGTGGCGCCACCTCATCAACTCACAGCAGACTTCAGTCCCCTGCGCAGCCGATGGCGCACGTTTCTGAAACATTTTTCATCACAATATGTAGAAAAGTAATTTTTCAGGCACGCTCCGCTTTACGAAGTAAAATATTACTCGCAACTCGTGCAGAAAGTTGTTTTTGACGTGTGGAATTATATCACTCGCTTCCCACACGCCAAAAATTTTTCCGCACTTTTCACGAAATATACCATTTCGAAACTGTTTACATTTTATGTTTATCATTTTATCATTTTATCATTTATCAGTTTATCATTTTATGTTGATTCATGAGTGAAAATATATTCGCTGCTAAATATTGAGAATTTGCATATTCAAAAGAATTGTCAACAGCCTGGGGAGTGAAAGAAAAAATTTCGATATCGATTTTCTTTCTCCTTTTTATAGTAGGATTTGGATTGAATGAGGAAACAAGACTTCTGCGAAAAAATTCATTGTTTATTCAACTTTTTTATCACTCTGAATTGAAAAAAAAATTCTTACGAAAGGTGAAATATAAATGAAAGCAGCAGGCTGACATGAATTACGGGATATTGGCGAGATAATCCTTGACATGTGATGGATCTAACCGTCTAAAGCCATTGGCATCACAGATTCCAACTTCGATATTGTCAGCTGTCATCTGGCCCTCAAAGCCCTCTTTGAGTGTGAGGATAGCAGTGTGGACAGCGTCATCGAGCTCGAGATCCTCACTATATCGTTTCTCGAGGAAAGTCTTTCCATTAATGAAATTCTTTCCCATGGCAGTGGCCCTCCAGGCGAAATAAGCGCCTGACGGATCGCACTGGAAGAGATAGGGCTTTCCGTTGTCCCATCCGCAGATCAGGAGAGAAACCCCAAAGGGTCTCACACCCCTGAATAAAAATATCCAGATTAAAGAAATTTCAATTGATTTGTATTACTGAATAAATTATTCCGGGGTCCATATTATCTCACCCCGATTGAGTATATTCCTGCATGAGCATAGCAACTCTCTGGACAAGTTGAGCAGTGGGGATGGGCTCGTTGTAAACCAACAAGTACTGCTGTGCCATTTTCCTAGCTTGCTTGACTAGAAGACGATAATCTGGTCCCATACCGCTGTAAACCATCCCAATGTGTTTGGTTATCATCTCGACCTTGTTGAGACTGTGCTCGTCGTACAGAATTGATTTGTGTTTATTCTCGGTCGCCAGCACAACTCCATTGGCAGCTTTGATGCCAACACTTGGAGCACCAGCTGCCACTGCAGCCAGGGCATATTCAATCTGCACCAATTTGCCCGATGGGCTGAACACAAATTATTTTTAATATTATCTGACATGTTCATCGGGTTGATACCGAATTTTTGGAGGTTACCTGGGAGTACAGGGGTATAATGCAAGTCACATTTGTACGTTAAATCCGGGTGAGAGCATTTTTTAATCGATAAGAAAATTATCGACTATGACAGTTAATTAGCAGATTAGAAATCTCGGGGAGGTCAATTAAATACTTTTGCGGATAATATTTACCTGAAAGTTGTCAGAGAAAAGCTGTATCTTTCGGAGGCCATGACAATTGCTTTTCAACAAATTCCGGCCCCTGAAGTGAACTGAAGTGATCAATATTGCACTGTTGCCAGCTGACGTTGGTAGCCTTGCCACACATTTAAGATTGGATAAAGTTTAGTTCATGTTGTTGGACGCTTTCGTACACACATAATTCTCAAGCTTTACAATTGCAATTTCCTAGGATAAATCGGTATTAATCAGCATAATCAACGGAATTCATCGGTTCGACTGTTGATGTGAGTATAAATTTTATCAGTGCACCAACAAATTTCAAAGTGATAAGGAATTACAGTGTATATTATGAGCGCATCATTCGAGGGTTATGCTTTATCGATTTTTGGAGTATGAATTTTTCTCTGAATTTTGGCAGGCTGAAAATGGTCAGAGGTCGAGGAGGAATAATGAGAGGAGGGCGAGGTGGGATGGGACGAGGTATGGGTTTCCCCAGGAAGCAATTTCTCCCGAGGCATCCCTTCGACTACACTCTGTGTGAGGCTGCATTTCCACCGGTTAAACCCGCACCCGACGAGTCGGATTTGACGATGGCATTGTTGAAAAAAAATTCAGATATGTGTCCAACCCCCAAAGAGCAAACCTCCATTCTAGATCTCGTCGTCAAAGTACAGAGTGTCCTGGATAATTTAATTGTTGCGCCTGGTACCTTCGAGGCTTGTGTGAGTGGAGAAAATCTTCAGTGAATTAAATATCTGTCAATGTCCAAAACTATTCTGATTTTTCTCTTCCAGCAATTGGAGGAACTGAGGAAAGTCGGTAGCTTCAAGAAGGGGACTATGATAAAAGGCCACAATGTAGCAGACATCGTAGTTATACTCAAAACCCTGCCCACTAAAACGGCAGTGGAAGCCCTTGGAAATAAAGTCCTCACCGACTTGAAGACAGTGAATCCAAAGGACGTGTTCAGGCTAGTCCAGACTGATCGTGGATTCGATATAACTAATGAGGAAGCCACTGTGAGAATTCTCATAACGACGTTACACCAGAATCTAAGGAAACTGGAATCCGAACAGCACGTCGATGTGAAAATTTGCCAGGGACACCTGGCAGCCATCAGACACTCGGGATGGTTCGAGGAGAACGCACACCATGCGAGCATTAAAATTTTAATTCGACTCCTAAGGGACTTGAGAACTAGGTTCGAAGGGTTCGAGCCTTTATCCCCCTGGATGATGGACCTCTTGGCGCATAATGCAATCATGAATAATCCTGGAAGACAGGCTCTGCCAATTAATCAAGCGTACAGACGTGTTCTCCAGCTTTTGTCCTCAGGGCTATTCCTCCCAGGATCTGCCGGTTCGTCTCCATAAGTTTTTTTCTCCGAGGAATACTATGTACTTCTTTTATCTACTTCTTACCTGTTTTTTGTCCTCAGGTATTTCAGATCCTTGCGAGGGTGGAAATATCCGTGTACACACTGCAATGACCTTGGAGCAGCAGGACCTGGTCTGCCTGACCGCCCAGACTCTCCTCAGGGTCCTTGCACACGGTGGCTACAGGCCTCTCCTCGAAGGCACTAACAAATTGGCTGTCGAAATGAGTGTCTGGCCCGGTGGAGTCGTTGCCAGTCCCCTGGACAAGGCCTACGAGCCACCATCAGATCAGGAGCAATCCGAGGACATGGAGGAGAACAACGAAGAGATGATCACTGAGTCGTCATAATTTTTAACCTGTCAATTTATCAAAGAATTTCTACTCAATTTCTATAAACTATTCGTATTTCTATATGTATTGGCTCTGAAAAAATCGACATGGTGGGTTTTATACTCTCCACGAATGCTAAATAAAGTCAACTGTGTAACTGACACATTTATTATTAATCTCTACAAAAATTCGTAAAGCGATGATTTTTCCTTCACGAAATTAAAAAATATATATAAATAAGATTAACGACAGGGATCGTCTTCAGGTGAATTACTGACCCTCGCGCAATTCATGTTTCCGGGGGTCACAGGTACTCTAAATAATTTCCCCTCAGGCATGCACACACAAATTTTGTACTGAAGAGCTTCTGATCTGCCGCTAGAGACAAATGGCGGAGCAATGGGAATCTTCTGGACATCCAAAAACACGCCATGAGTGGCATCCAGGAAGATGCTGTCGTTGCTCTTGAAATTAACGTCGTTGTTAGCCATGAGGATGATTTCTTTGCCTTCCATACCGAGACTTTCGGCTCCGTGCATGGAAACCTGTTTCTTCGAATCCAGCAGTAAAGTTTCATTGACTGGCGACACAATCCTGTGGGTTTGCGCCAGCTTCACGTCGATTCTATCGACTCCTCTGAGTGATCCGAAATTTGAAAAATTCGTGGAGAAAAGCAAGTGGCCGTGAGGATCCTTTATCTCGAAGGATTTCACTTGCGAGACTGACGTTACGTTCTTGAGAACACGAAAATCACTTCTTATATGATCGTATCGGTGGTTCTGCACATTGAGATGCACTCCTGCGTCGTGCCCGGAAAATTCCACCGGCTCGTCACCGTAGCCCTGGCAAATTCCTCGTTCGACACATACCTTGAAAAAAAAATCGACTCGACCTTTTTCTAAACATTTAATTCAATTCATACAAACGTTTTCTTTAACTCACGTGGTCCAGATCAGTGTTCCCGAAGAATTTCACTAAAGACTCCTCAGGAATGACCTCTAACGACTCCATCCCTCGGGAAACTCGGAGGACGTCGATGATGGTGATACTCAGGAGAAGATTGCAGAGACCTATGACTGCTAGAATGCATGTTAAAGTCCAGAGGCAATACCTTTTCTTCTCGGGATCAAAGGAGCTGGAAGATTGGCGATGGGTAGGTGTTCGTGAGGGAGACCTCGATGATTTACCGCTGGAGCCGTTCCTCAAGCTGATAGATGTGTTATTTCTCCCTAAACTCCTCTTCAACAAAGGCCCATCGCTGTTCGACAAGTTGTCCTCTGCTTTGGACATGGATGGAGACCCGGTGTCGGTTTCCGTCTCAGGGAAACTCGACATTTCTTCAATTTATTCACCGCAGCGAGAAATTACTATTTTTTCTGTGGAATTTCGGAAGCCCGACATGGAATAGACCAAAAATGTCATTCAACCCGCGCCTGCGTGACTCTAATATTGATGTTACTACTGCTTTCGGGGTGAGGGTGGATCTAAGATTCTTCTATTTTTAGATTGATACAACATCTGTAAATTAAACATTAATTTCAATACCCCCCACTAATCTTTCTCATTGCAATTACAATTGCAATTTAATAACACATTCAATGTTCATATCCATATGATAAATATTAAAAATATATAGAACTTCAGAATTCCCGTCCTTTCATCAATATTATATCGATATTAAATTATAATTAAATAAATTATATTCTTCGGTGCTTTTGAATAAAAAATTGTTGCGGAAATACAGTAGAAGGAGGAAATAGAAGAAAATCGCGGAAATAATGCCCTCAATTTTCCGCGCGTCAAGAAAAATTTATCGCGAATTTTCTGTAATTCAAATGTGGTACCCCTGTGACAAGAATTTCCCGCGTTTTCAGGGCCTGTCCATTGCCGCCTGGTGAAGGCCAGATACTCCCGCTGTTTCTGTGACTGCATTGCTCGTGAGTCTTTAAATAATTGTTTATTTAAATTATCATCATGTTTACCTCCTGCATTATCAAAAATACCACGTATTTTCCATAAAATGAATTGCATTGCTTCGTCGATTGATACCCGATGAAGGTTATAGGGTTCCATTCAAAATACACCTATTACACGATTTGCCCAACAACTCATATTTAATTAACACAAAACAAACTGAGTGTTTTGAATAACCTGAAATTTGTTTGTGTAAAAAATCCATCGGACGATTAATCCACTGAGTCCTGACAAATTCGATATTACTTGTAGGTTCTCTCAATTGATTGACATGCAAATGGCGTTCCTGTAAACAATCACCGGAGATCCTCCGAGTCATCCATCATTACGAGAGATTCCACAAATTTCCGAACTCCCATCGTTATCTTTCCGATAGTGTCGAGAGTATTTGACTTTTATATTCGGGTAAATTAGACTTCACTCGGACAAATACACGAGTTAGGGCAGGATAAAATAACGGGAAGTTGAGAATCATTAACCTTTTCGAAGCCATATTAGCGACAATAACACCGACAAGGAGAGAGTCATTTATTTGGTGAAGGATAGACTAAAAATTGATAAACAAACGAGACTCGTTAGATCGTGGAAGATGATGGCGATTAAATGAAGAGTACAAGTTGGAAGCCACAGCTAAGATGCCTAGGAGGGATCGCCACAAAATCGATCGGCCTGTTGGCTCGGAGAAGACCTGTGTCTTCTGCAATTCGTCGGAGGACAATGAACTGAAATACGGAAAGATCCACGAGTACAATGGTATCATCACTCATTATTACTGCCTGTTACTCTCCTCGAATATGCAGCAGAAGGGCGACGACGACGAGGGAATCCTCGGATTCCTCACTCTAGATATACTAAATGAATTGAAAAGAGGAAAAAGACTGGCATGCTCCTACTGCAAGAAAATCGGTGCGACCCTGGGCTGCTGTAACACAAAATGTAAAAAAATATTTCACTTGCCCTGTGGCCTGAAGGCAGGCTCCCTCCACCAGTTTTTCGGTGAATTTCGTTCATACTGTGTGAGTCATCGACCTAAGCAAAAAATCGACGAGAGAATCAGGGCCCAAATCTCAGATCAGCTGCTCTGCTACATCTGCTATGACAACGTCGATCGAAATAATTTATTCGAAACCCTGTGGGCGCCCTGTTGTAAGAAAAATGCCTGGTTCCATCGACTGTGTGTTCAGCAATTGGCGATGAGTGCTGGGTACTTCTTCAAGTGTCCATTGTGCAACAACAAGAAGGAATTCCAGAAGGCTATGCTGGATAATGGAATATTCATACCATGCCAGGATGCCTCGTGGGAGCTAGTACCCAATGCATTCCAGGAATTATTGTACAGACATAACAGGTGTGACGCCAGCCAGTGCATCTGCTCAAAGGGCAGGACCTACACGAGTTCAAATCCCAAGTGGGAGCTGATTCTTTGTCGATCTTGTGGCTCCCAGGGTGTACACGTTGCTTGTGGAAGACTCAAATGGGGTGATGCCACTTGGGACTGCAGGGAATGCTGTGTTATTCTCAACAAGACGGAGGCGAACTCTGAGGAAACGAGGATGTCTAGTAATTCCACACCCTCTGTAGCTGAATCTACGAAGAATGATTCCTGTCAGTCGGACAGCGAGGGCTCGGACTCTGACATTTCTGTAGGAGTGGAGGAGCCAGTTTATGGACCGACCCCCTGGCCCACCAACTCTCACACTCCCCCTCAAGCTGCCATTCGCCCAGGGCCTAAATCCTTCAAACTGAAACAACAAAAAATGATGAGGGAGATGTCTGAAAGCCATTCAGAAGGAACGAGTAGCGAAGCGTCTTCATGGGCCAGAGGTGGAGTTCAGAGACTCCAAAATCCTTCATCATCTAGTAGGCACTGCCAACCCAATGCGAGAATAATACCAGGAAGCTCCACCTGCCCCGAAGAACTCGTCATCCTGGACAGTGACGAGGAATTTCTACCAGATAAATCACCACCACCAATATCTCACATCACAGAGAACATGCTGATGAAAAATAATGAAGTCACTATTTCATCGAAACCTGTGACGTTAACTAGTAGTTCAACAAATCAGTCGATTGGATACATTGCCTTTGGGCCCTCGGATGACCCCACCATCATTGGAAACATTCAAATGCCCAGTGCAACCTCTCCCTCAGCCCTATCCCCGAATCCTACTTTTGCAAATTATCCAGAGGCTTTCACACAGAATCAACCCCCCAAGAGTCCCCTCATGGCCATACAAATCACGAATGTAACTTCAGTGCCTCTCGAAGAGTTTGGGAAAGTGGAACCCCAGGATGTACCAGTCTCATCAACATTAAACACTACTCCAGAGATTGTCGATGTTGAATCGGATAACGAGGATATAAGCTATACTCTGTCGATGGCTCAGCAACTGACACGGGCGAGTACAGAAATGGAGCAGGGGAATGTCGAACAACAGACGAATCGAGAGAAGAGACCAGCACAGACTCTACCAGAGGATCAGAACGCAGTTGATGAAAATTCAACATCCCAAGTGCCAACAGTGGATCTAAAGAGACCGAGAACCGACCACCCCTCCGAGAGAGTTCAAAACACACCTCAGTCCAGCAATCTTCCAGATAGGCCTTACATTCATGGAGTGGCTCTGGATAGGGCAGCAATCGTTAACGTCCTGGGAAAGAAATTCGTCCTTCCACTGACAGACGAATCTCGGGTCACAGTCAACAATACGTGGGTACCCAATGTAAGTAGAATTACTAGCAATTTTTGGGATAAATATGCGGGATATTTTGTTCCGAGAATAACGCGCGCGAGGACTTTGATTTATCTTATCGGTTCCCCGTGCCTTACTCTCTCGTGTGTAAAATCTACGATTCTAACAGTACGACGGGGATGCAGGCACCAAACCTGCAGGGGAAACGGAGCCAATCACCAGATATCCAAGTGATCGAGCCGACTCCATGGAGATTCGATCAGGAGCCACAGTATGTGATGGCTACGAACCCGCGTAAGTATTTAATACTTCCAACGTTATTCCTATGAACTTTAAATTATATAGAGTGAGATGAGAAACATAATTTTCATTTTTATATTTATCAATCTCTAGCTCAACTGATCCCGGAACCAACCTCGACACACCAATCCACACAGGGGCCAATACTCCAGCCTCACATTATTCAGATCGACTGAGCAACAATTCAGTTTCCCTGAAGGATTTGAAATTTCGAGTTTGTGGAAGTCGCTCTCTGAAGGTAAATATTTACCTCCACTTGCACGAACAAAAAGTAGAGAATGTTTTTAAAAAATCTCTGACACCTGGCTTACAATAGGAGATGAATGTTTGTTCCAGATGACTGTTAATGATATAATTACGATGAACCTGGAGCTCGACACGGGCCAATACCGCCGGCCAGGTCCCAAATGTGCAGTTTGGAGAAGACGCAATGGATCTTCGCTGGTACGGCGGTCCTCCCTTGCAGTCCACGAGAGTAGAAATCAATCTGAACCTAACAGTATAGAGAGCCCAACGCGAGAGTCGAGTTCCAAATTTACGAAGTCTCCAGAACGTCGGAAAACTAACAGCTTGAAGGAGAACTTGGCACCAGAGATGAGTGACAACGGCTACCTCTCTCCGAGTCCTGAGAGAAAAATCAAACGACTGAGACTTGACAGCGAGGGAGCCTCGATACACTTTGAGTCAGGATATACAAAAGGTTCCTCCATTCTCGTAAATGGGGATCATCCAGGGACTAGCAGAGACGGCTTGAAAGAGCTCTCCCACTCGTTGATTAATCAGCGGCGGGAATGTCTCAGACACTCCTCCAAGGTCAGATCAACTGAAGTCTCTCAATCATGTCACATACCAAAAGATAAAGAGGGCCTTCCTGTTAGCATAGAATTGAGTAGAATTCAGCCCCTCCTCCTGTCGAAACCAGCATTATTCGAGGGAAACGTTACATTATTACCTCGTCAATTAGTTAAATTCCATAGCATAAGTGATTTGAGGGGCTCCTCATCCTCTGGGAATCATTACAAAGGGTTCCTCAGGCGAACCAAGAGCCTGAACAATCTGCTATCGTTGAGCAGTCCAGAGATTTTTTATACAAACGTTAATGATAATCAAACAAATCCCCAAAGACGAGGACAGAAACGCAAGAAGCTCGATTGTATGAGATAATTTTTAAAGCGCCTCCAACGAATTTATTTCACCTACCCAGATCAATTGGAATTTATGATTTATGAAAGATATTGTGTATTTATATTGCAAGCCACGTATTTCGCTCATGTATGGCCTTCGTTGCAATGTTATGCTGGTTTGTTTTGTCGACACATGCCTGAATTCATCGATTGAACACTCATGGTTACAATAAACTATTTTTATTAAGAAAGTCGTTATTTTCATTGTTTTACATTGTTAATTTTTGGAACTAAGGGGTAATTTTAATGTTTTTTTCATTTACAATTTTTTGGGAATGAAGTGCAACTCTTCCAATAAATTCAAATACTTACCAATGGCGACGCGTCAGTGCAGATAGTGTAGATAAGGTATGATACAAGCAGGTATTGTCCAGCCAAAAACACAAGTTCTCTCAGGCAGCACGAGACAGCGCGGTGATCACTACCACCTTCCCCTCATCTCCATGTCATCCCCACTCTGCAGCTGTTCGGCACTGGTGGGACTATTTAAAAAATTATAATTTAAAATAGGAGGAAAAAATGTAAAATATGGTCTTGGTTTATGGGATGTGTGGTATCTACATGACTTCAAAGTTTCAAAAAAAGAATAAACTATAAAAGCATTACCAGGTCTCCAAAAATCAGGCAATAACAATAAATAAATTGATTCCTCTTATTTTTTATTAAAAAATAACAGCGACTTACAGCTGATGCAGCAGTTTTCGCAAACGAACCGGCACTCGAGCTGACGGGATTAGAAAACAGAAGGTAATTCAATGTATCTGATACTCCCATTCCCGTTTCAGAGATCCAATCGAAGCGTTTTTGATGGTCAAGACCAAAATCCACACGGTAAATTCTCTTCAATCAATTATTTTTCACTGACTATTGGATTTTACGTGATTGCACTGTTTTTTTTAAGAGAGAATTATTTATTAGGTTAAGAATTTTCGTAATTATCGTATCTCGTCAAATTGAGACTGCCCGCGGTGTTC